TATTGAGCACCTCCCGCAGCCGCGCGAGCTCGAAGTTGCTGACCGGCGGGTCGCACAGCACGCAGTCGAAGGCGAAGTCGGCCGCGGTCTCCGGCTCTGGCCGCTCGAGGTCGAACGGCCGGAAGCCGCGTAGGAAGCCGAAGCGCTCGTCCCGGTCCAGCAGCAGGTACGGCGCGCCGCGCGCCTCCGCCTCCACGGCGAGCGAAGGCGCGCACAGCAGCAGCGGGCGGGAGTGGCGCGCGAGGAGGAGGTCGAGCAGCGCCGCTCGCGTCGCCTCGTCGAAGAAGTACTGCTCGAAGGCGTGCTCCTCCGTGACGCCGGCGCACTCCGTCGGCTCCAGGTTGGTGGCTGGGTGCGCGGTCGGGTACGGCGTGCCGGAAGGCTGCAGGTGATGCCTCCGCTGCTTCCGGTTGAGCGCCGCGAGCGGAGAGACGGCGCGGCCTATGTGCAGCGGCGCACCGCGCTGGCCCGGAGTGGGGTGCGCAGGCAGTAGCGCGAGGGCGGCGAGGGCCGCGAAGAGTGGGATCATCTTGCTCCAGGAAAAGCACAAAGGCTGTACTGCGATGTGTGAGCGTCTTCCCGCCCGGCGTGCTCAACTTCGTTCACAGCCTTGTTATTGAGAAGAAAATACCTCCTATGGCGCTGTGCGCTGGCCTGAATAACGTGTGGGCCCTCAGCGGAGCTGGGAAGAGGACCGCCGCAAGCGGCGTGGCGTGAGTCGGTTGTGCATCCCTCCGGGGGCCCCTCTGCGCCGGGGAGGCGTTGTTGAAGGCTAGGACGCAAGCGTCCGTCGCCCTTTTCAAACTCGGGGCCCACTCCGCTACGCTCCGACCCGAATTTGGAGGGCCTGAAAGTTGAAGGTGTTGCTGCGCAAAAGGGGTCGGACACAGGGCGCAGCTCATGCTAAGAGCTAGAAGAGGAGATAGAGAGAACAACCACCCTGTCCCGTTATTGCGTACACCAACACCACAAAACGCTCTCTCTCTCCTGTCCTCACTCAGGGGGGTCACAACTACCAAGTCCCCCGACTAGCTGCCACAGGGCGCAGCTGCCACAGGGCGCAGCTGGAGACGCTCCCCCTCAATCGGCATCCACCCCCACCCGCTCCAGCCCCACTTCTGCTGCCGAGAGAGCTGAATCGAAGCAAGCGAGCCATTGCATCTTGGCGTGCTCCTGGAGCGCGGCTTTCTGCGGCCACGAGCACGGCGGAGTCGGCGTCGTAGCGCGCATCGTTCCCGTTCATCGTTCATTCTTCCCGTTACGTGTGTCGGCCGCAGCATTCCGTCGTTCCCGCCTTCATCGTCAGTGAGGACTACCTTCAGGGCAGGGGGGCTCGGGCGAGCGGAGGGACTCCGCGTCCTGCGCTGTCCGCCTGACACACACTCGTCCTCCATGGCCTTGATCCGACTCCGCAGCGGCGGTCCTGCGCAGGAGGCGCACTCGCCGCGCACGCGTGGGCTCCATCAGTAGACTTTCCATCAGCTGCTTCGAAAGCACGGATGAG